AGGCTATTTTCCCTTGTTACTGATTTTGAACTGCTGATTAGAGGGAAAACAACTTGCTGCCAGCACACACACTGGCAACTCTCTAGCTACTGAAGTGTTAAGTAAAGTAAATTTACTTTTCTCTTCTTAGATTATATTTCTAACTTATAATCATTTACTTACATTCTGTAATGTTGTATAATTAGACAGAGATCTAGGATTATTACAAAGCTACTAAGGCTATTTTCCCTTGTTACTGATTTTGAACTGCTGATTAGAGGGAAAACAACTTGCTGCCAGCACACACACTGGCAACTCTCTAGCTACTGAAGTGTTAAGTAAAGTAAATTTACTTTTCTCTTCTTAGATTATATTTCTAATTATAATCATTTACTTACATTCTGTAATGTTGTATAATTAGACAGAGATCAAATTAACTGACATAAAGGAGTAAATGTATTATTTCCCTTCAGTCATTATGCTAAATGCTTTGATCCCAATAGAAAATACCTCTGGATGTAATTTTCAAATTAACTGACATAAAGGAGTAAATGTATTATTTCCCCTCAGTCATTATGCTAACTGCTTTGATCCCAATAGAAAATATAGCATGAGCATATTGTGATGTGTTTAATGAAATTCTTGAACAGATGTGAAGAAAATAATGACTATGAACAAATTATAAATGTATGATATGTAAATATAGTGTGTTGTGATATGTCAACCCTTGTGAGTATTGTTGTGTTGAAATAGCAATATTCTGCACACTATAAACAGGTGCTGCAGAACATACTATAATTGGCTGTGATTGCTTTTAAAATGAGTTATTGCATTTATTCAACTTTCAACAAAACAGTGAAAAATATTATTATAGGTCAATAAATGTAACATGCTATAAGTATTCTAATCTGTGTATTTTTAGTCTTTTTAAAGAAAAAATTAAAAAGAATATAAGGTAGTTTTAGAAAATATACAGTTACTTTTTTACATTACACTCCTTATCTGATGATTTTATTAACTTAAATAATTTGTAAATTGGATTAAAAATAAAGAAACATTTTGTACTAAGTATTTGGACTTATTAGCATCGAAATAACTAATTTCTGTCTCTAGTTAAAGGAGTAAACTATTTTGGTCCAAAGAGTGAGTTTATAGTGAGTGGAAGTGACTGTGGATACATTTACCTGTGGGAAAAAGAATCCGAACATATCGTGCAGTATTTATATGGAGATGAAGGTGGGGTGGTGAGTGATTTTATGTAGCTTCTTCTCGTGGAGAATGAGTCATTTCCTTGTTTCAAAAATAATATTTTATTTTATTTTTGAAACATATTAACTGCCAAAATTATAGAGTAATACATAATGTTTATATCAAATTTTTTACTAGGTAACAGCATTACACCAGTCCTGATGCATGAGTTACTTTATCAAGTGTATGGTTTACCATGAATACTATGCAAACAAGACAATAAATAAACATATTTACTGTTTTTCATCTGAAATGAAAAATATTTAAAGTATTTTCTTAATATTAAGCATTTAGAATATGAAAGTAGTTATTTTCAAAGGTAAGAAGCTGTGATGTTGTCAATTGCACATGTAATGATTTATTGTTTATTCTGTGATAGAAAATGCCATTAGACACATTAGTTTTTGATGCTTGTCTGTAATGTATCAAAACAGCTAAAATAAAGTAATGAATATCTCCTGTAAAATGTATTTTCAATGTTTTGCCATAGAAGCGTAGCCAAAAGTTATTTTATCCTACATTTATATTGTATGCACATTTATTTAGGAAAAAAATAAGAAAGAAACATTATTAAAAAAAAGAAAATGATAATGTTATTTTACAGTTTTTTTCACTTAAAACGACAGAAATTGTAAATTCTTATGCTTGTTAAAACATTTGTATGTATTATTAAGCTATTTTTTGTAATATTTGTTATCACTTAGTTAATTATATTCAGATGGTACCAACTTTGAACAAAATGAGCCAGAAACTGTGAAGAAGTTAGGGGCTTTGATTAATGTTTGAAAAAATTTTATCTAAAAATAAAATAAAATTTACTTTTGTTTCTTTGTAAAGTTTGGATATTTTGATACACTATTAAATATTATTTTTAGTAGGAGCTTTGCTCTTTGTATATTCTCCCCTGTAAAGTGATTAGCTATTTAAAATATATGCATTTTAGATTTGTTTGTATTAACACACTCACCAACTCTGTATGAAAATACAGGTCAACTGTCTTGAACCACATCCACACTGTCCAGCACTAGCTACTAGCGGTTTGGATTTTGATGTAAAGGTTTGGGTGCCTTCATGTGAACATCCACCAGATTTGTCTGAATTGAAATCTGTAAGGTTCTGATTTATACATTGCAAGTACTCAGTATGTCAATACATGTACATTTAGGGGGTGTTTGCAGTATCTCTGTAATATAATTGGAGGATGAATCTATAAACTAGTCTTAGTAGTGATTACCTGGAAAAGTTCTGCTCATGTATGAATAATTTATATTACTAGTTCATCTACCCTTCCACTACCTAGTGCACCCAGGCATTTTTACATACAAATCATTAAACAAGTTAGCTCATTAAGAATAAAAAAGAAGTTAACTCACCTCAGAACTGCCAGTAGGAGAGGAAGCAGCTCTATTAAATTGTTGGTATTATCATGTTATATTTATGTTTATATTTTTTTGGTGTAACACTGGTACTATGATCAGATGTTGGTCAGAAAATTCTAGTACGAAGTTACATGACACAACTGTGCAAATAAAAGGTTAATTTTAATTTTTAGGACTGGTTGGTTATCACTGGTATCCCATGTTCTCTTCATTCTTACTGTGAAATACTTAAATTGCATGAAACTGTGTACAAGCTTTCTAAATAGTCTAGGTTCTGTGTGAGAAAAAATCATAAATTTAATTTAGTATTTATAAAATATAATTGGTTGTAAAATGTCAAAATTTTTCTGAAAATGTTTTGAAAAATCAAAGATTAATTTTTGTTCCTTTTTTAATTGACCATAAATTTCTATGTTGTATATACAGTAAATTTTAACTTGCGATTCATCAGTATATTTATTTTTGATACTTTATTTTCCCACTTAATGAAATCATTTTCCTCTATAAATCCTGCAAACATGGTACGACTGACCTTTACCTTTCAGTATGTCAAACATGGTACGACTGACCTTTACCTTTCAATATGTCAACCATGGTACGACTGACCTTTACCTTTCAGTATGTCAAACATGGTACGACTGACCTTTACCTTTCAATATGTCATCCATGGTACGACTGACCTTTACCTTTCACTATGTCAACCATGGTATGACTGACCTTTACCTTTCAGTATGTCAACCATGGTAATGTGATGTTTTTTAGATTAGTTTATATCCAATAACTAGCATTAGGTTTAGCAGTTTGAATTTTATTTTACTGAGCATTTCATTGTTAGTTTGTAGGTGTTTTGAGGGGAGATATTGCACAGGATTTTCTAAAACTTCATGATGCCATTTCTCCTCAGAAAATATATATATCAGCCTAGAAAAGGTTAAAGTATCGATACACAAATTTTTTTTAAATAGTTTTTATTACATTAGACTTAGGCTCCAAAACTTTTGTTTTGACACAGAACTTACAATTGAACTGACAGAACCAGATTTCGTTATTTGTATGTACTTCAATGTTGTTCAGAATGAACTTTAATTGTTCCAGCTTGGTTTAACTTCATTGTAAGTTAAAAGTTGTAAAGAGAATGGTGATTTTCTCTACAAATTATTTATAACTGCAACATATCATATGATACTTGCAAGTTAATTTATAAACAGATTCTTGAATACAAAAATTAATTTCAACAATCTCTATCCTAAATGGTCTCATGGAACATTTGTTTAACCAAATGTAAAGTTCCTGACTTAAAAATAAAACAAATGGTAAAACAGTTTTAATTTTGTTTTGATTGTTATATTTTTTCTCATTAATTAATTAGACTAGACCCTTGTTTTCTAGTTTCAAGTTTAAGTACTGAAATATCAAACAGCTTACAGATATTCCCTAATTAGACACATTTTAATTCAAAAAATATATATTCTATATTATTGCTTTATTACAGAAAATATGCTTGAATATGAAGGAAAGAGAAGATGACAGAAAACGTGATGGACCAGATAACTATGATAGTCAAATGCTGTGGTTCCTCATGCAACATCTTCGTCGCACTGCTCGTAGAAGGGTACTGTAATCAATCATATTCCTTAAACTACCAACTTGACCTAGCACTTTACCTTTATGTTGGTTATGAGATCGGTTAAATCTACCGAACTCGGACAGAGATTCGTTACTGAAAATAACAGATAAAATATAAAGTTTTTTCTTAAGAAATATTTGATAACTATCTGGACATTATAAAGATTTCTCATGTGAAATTTGAAAATTTTCTGATGCATAAAAGTATTTTTAGTCTTAAAATGAATATTACTTTGCATGTTGGATAGGCAATTTGCAAAAAGAAAAAAAGGCAGGAGAAAAACATTGCTTTACAAACCTGAAGACTTAATAAAAAAAATTTAATATTATATGGATGAAAGCAATGTCATATTTACTGATAATCTGCTAAATTTCATTAACATTTGCTTACTAATTTAAAAGTTATAGCATGAAAACTATAATAAACACAAAATGATTATGAGGTCGGTCCAAGGGACCAAGCATTAATTGATTAGTAAAACAAGCCCCTACCTACCCCACCTGCATAAGCAAATAAAAATGAAAACAATGGGTGTATGCTATGTTCGTAACTTCTTCAACCATTGTATTATTTTAACTTGGCACTAAGTTTCTTATTTTCATTCACATTATTTAGGATATTTTAAAAGCAATTTTTAATTACCCTTGGCTTCACACAACAGATCTCTTATGATGGTTGCACATTTTCTAAAAACATATTTTTGTCTAAGAAAATCTTTTGCCACAATTTTTTTGTTTTAAAGATAACCTTCAAATTTCCTACTTTTCAAATGAATCACTAAAGTCAACTAAATACCATCATACAGTCACCTTTGTGTATGTTTTTAAGATATGCAGTAATCCCACACTGATCTTCTGTAAATCAGTAATTAAAGCATGCTTACTATCACAGATAAGGGAAATGTTTGTATTTAAAATGTATCATAATTTTAATTAAAGCAGCCAGTTGGCCAATATATTTATGTACATTATTTAAGTAGGATGAACATAAAAATGATATCTGAGTCATCAGAATAATTTTTAGTTACTTACCATACTCACTGAACAGTAAACTTACCTAATTTGATGGCAATTTTATTTCATTTTGTGAACATAATAAAAAACACTCATGTTTAAACACATTGCAACTCAATAAAACCATAGTATGTTTACTAAAAAGTTAAAACACTGTATTTAAACAAAAACCAAACATGAACAACGTACCTTTATTGAGCCTAAAGAAATCTCCTGTTATGTAACTTTTGTTTCATACTGTGTATATATTCCTGTACCTAAGTAAACTACTTAACCCTTTGAGAGAGTAATTAAATTTCAGGTAGGTTCTCGAAAAGTGTCAATTATCCAACAAAAAAATTAAATTTATAATTTGACCTTTTTAGTACTTTTTCAATATCAAAATCCATTAATTGCACTTTTTCTCTGTGATGTACGTGCATGTGGTACTAAGGTGGGAAATTCAAAGACGTGCGAGTATCCTGATTGTCGCATTATTAGGAAAAGTTACGTGACACCATGGGGTAAATCTGATTATAGCATCTAAAGGGTTAAACCTGACAATGACAAGATCTTCTGTAAACAATGTGCATATGTTACTGTGCTAAACTTATAATAAAGTTTTCTTTTTACCCATTCAACAAATCTCTAAAGTGTACAAGTTTACCTTATCTCAAGTTATCTTATGTCTAGTTACTTATTATTGAAGAAAATTTCTGTAGTAGCTTTCAAACAGATATAATTTAACACACCTATATTTTCACAACTCGCATATGAAAGGAACATTTATAGGAATTATGAACAAATCTTAAACCTATATATATTTACTATTATGCAATAATCTAATTCTTATTCCATCCAAGCATACTTAAACTTTCTTTATAGCAGTTTCAAAGCTGTGTTTCAATAGTAAATGATCAAACCGCTTCATGTTGGTTTAACTAAGGCTTGTACAAAAACTAAGGAAAAGGCTTGAATATCAAGAAATGGATAATATAATATTAAGAGGTGAGAGGTTCTTTGCAAAAATAAAGTTATTCTTTGGGATGGGCAGACAAATTCCAAAAATAAATTGACAGGAGGGTTGTTTTGTATACAGGAAAAACTTTTTTGGAGCTGTACAGAAAAGAAAATATGAACTTTTTTTCCCATCATGAAATACACTAAAAAAATGATAAAATATCAATTGTAATATATTTCCAGTCACCTGGTGCAACAGTACTGTGTACATTTTTTCATACTTGTTATTCCAGACAAATCAATATTGTTTATAAGTGTTTACAACAATGTTGGGGCATTAAGTGTTTATTTATAACTACACAGTTACTAAAATGCTTTCCAACCAATCTAGGGAATAATCATAACTCATTTTATTTATTAGGCAAAGCAGTACATAGCCAAAGTAAAAACCTAGCATGTTTTTTGTGTTCTTCAAGTAGCCTAAATTTGAAGTCAAACAACGTAAAAGTTAGAATAATATAAATTTATTTTGTAAAATATAACTATTTTACAAAGGTTTAACACCAATAGGGAATGAACATGAATAAAACATGGAAATTATTTAGATAATGTGTATTATTGTATTAATAAGTAACTTTGTTTAACTTCTCCACAATTGGCTGCGGTATTTCAGTTAACTTCTTAAAATTCCATTATTTAACACTGTATCCAAATTTTGAGTATTTTTTACATGGAAAAAAGATACTTCCACTGTAATAACATAGTATTTTGGATTAATCAGTGTTGAACATATAATCCTAAAGTAACATAAATAAGTCAAAGTTAAAATAACTAATATGTTTTGTAAATGATTAGCTCAGTCAGATTATATAATCCAGTATCTGTCTCTATTAATGTGATTGATATGAAAAGAAAAACAATTGAAAACAAACATTTCAAAAGTTTAAATTGGAATTGTATGTAATCCTATTTAGACAACAAATTATAACATTGGTAAACAGGATGGCTGTTTTAAAGAATTTCCCATAAGCCTCTCCATTTGTATTTTAGACACCAACAATACCAAAAACATCTTTCTCACAAGAATTCTAACTTTTAAACTGTGACAAATCAATTTTCTAACAAATCTGTGTTATAAGAGCTGCAGATGTCCTAAACAGTACTAAATTTTGTAAGTATAAAGATGTTTTTAGTGTCTGGTAAAAGCCAAGATGCAAATATTTACTATGGCAGTGTTTACTTGATGTTAATATTTTCACATTAGCTTTGACATAATCAATTACTGGCTAAAGCCTTAACTGGATTGCTGTATACTCCAACTGTTGTGATTTCTGAAAAACTAAAAAAACCTTTTATGGTAATTAATAGCCCAATTAGATAAAAACGTTATGATATGTAATGTTTCTTTTGATAATATATGGAAGTGTATAGACATTTGGTTGAAAAAAAAAATGGAGGGTGTTGGACTCCCTAGATCTATACCTACATATATATAATTAAAAAAATAACAGTTATTAATTTCTGAAACAAATGGTGTTGAAGCTCCCACCCCCCCTAGATCCATGCCTTATACAACATTAATATATTAAATAGATTAATTTCTGAAAGAAAAACTTGTAGAGGGGATTTGCCTTCTCCTAAAATTACATCCAGAGG